CAGTGCTGTGCTTTAACCCGCTCCGTCACCAGAGAGGGCCCCTGGGTATACAATTTTAATAAGGATTTTTAAAGTCCATATCTTGAAAGTATATACTGAAATACACAAAATTCTATTATTCTAGAATTTGCTTCAGATAATTTGGAGCGGGAAAGAAATAGATAGACATTAAGTAAAACAAGACTGGTTGTGACCTGTTTCTGTATATGATGAATGCCAAGATTGTGAGAGCTCAAAGATACAGCACTGTTTTTCTATGTTTAAAACTCTCCATAATAAAATAAACTAAAGCAAGGATATATGTAATACAACATATTTACAATACAGAGAACAAACTGTGAGAGACAGATTTAGAGGGAAACTGTTAGGTTATTCCAGACAATTCAGACCAGAGAAGCACCCTGAATTAAGTCAGTGGTAGCATAGAAATGAAAAGCATAGGTTAATCAGGGCTATTTCCTCAGGCACGGATTAGGCTTCCAGGACACTGCAAGCAATCTTTACTCACTTTTCTCTCTTTTTTTTAACTAGAAAAATCTCCACAGTTTTCATCATGTATTCAAAACTAGTAATTACTGAACTAGAGTGCATTTTAGGATCTAGGACTATCTGTATTAACTAGTGCCCCTATTCACTTCCCTATGATCCATTTTTTTTCCCTCCAACAGAAAGCATACTTATCCTTTCCTCATTAGGAAAAGTACTGTTCCCTTTGAATAATTAATAGCCCAGTTCACACACTTTCAATAAAGTTCTCTCCTGCTTTAGAATTTCTTCAAACTCAGAGTACCTGTGGTTAGTTATTTATACTTCAAACCCAAAAGTATACTTAGCCCCTAAGGACTTTTTGGAAATTAAATGAGCTAAGATATATTTTAAGGTTGGGCATAACGAGCTCAGTAAACATTATTTAGCTGAACCTTCATACAGATTGCCCTTACCATTCATTTTCTCTGCCTCTTATTAATTTCTGATTTATCACATTTCATTTGCACAGTACAAACACTCAAATATATTCACTGAATAATTATACAGCAACCCATAAAACTCAGAGTCAACATATATGGGGGGGGTAATTAGTGATCTTTTTAGCAACTACTGATGGGAAGGAGGTATTAACATTAAAAAGGAGAATGAGTAAATGTGGTCTTTTGTTGGGGGAAGATGAAGGCATTTGAGATGAACTGAATAAAACATGTATTGGGGAAAAAATAGAAAACTTACATTATATCTAATTAAAATAGCTCCTATTAACTAAGATCTTCAAATAGCCACACATAATGTTATATTGTATCTGTATGCCAGAGTGTGTAAACACAAATGCTAAAATTTTGCATTTGCTAGAGACTTAGAAGTTTTAGAATACAAACTCCTGGATTAGAATATCTATGTCATATTTTTTTTAAAATAAATATAATAGTTTTTTTTACATCATTTTGTACATTGGCTTTTTTTTTTTTTCATCTCAATTGTAAGCACCGTGGGTTTCCCATCACTGAGTCACCCATGTGCCATCTCCATAGACCTGTGCACTTCCCTCCCCCACCCTTTGTTCCCATTCCCCACTTCACCCCCACAAAATATCTCTGGTATATGTCTATGTCATATTTTTTAGTTGGCAAACATTCTGTGTGTACAACATTTTGTGGCAAGAATATTTAAGTTGGTGATGATATTTTCTATTAGAAAGCACAAAACAGTTCTCTTTTGAGGTGTCAGCAGCTGTTGATGTTAGGTCTCTGACAAGATTCATTCATTAGGGTAACCATTCTTTTTTTAAAAAAAATTAAGAAATTATTACATACCAAAACAATGAAAAATTAATACATACATGTAATATACATAAACTTGACCAAGCATATCATGGGGACCCAATATACTCTGCTGAAATGCACAGAAGTGCATGACACATAGTGAGACACAAAGAATTTTAAGTCATTACCTATTTCTATAAAAAAAAGGCTAAGATGACAATGTAACAGTGATTACAACAATGGCAAAGGTTTTGGACTCAGGCAAACCTGCATTCAAATCTCAGTATAATCCTTAATAGCGAGGGGTCCTGGTGGTTACTCAACCTAAATTTGCCTCATCTAATAGGAATGATACCTGCTTCATGAGACTGTAGCACTGATTAAGGGGCAGTTATAATTTTGATAACATGAACTGCCAAATCCCCACAAACACTCCATTTTCCAAGTCTTGGCCAAATCAAGCCAATCTTTTAGAGGGTGAGGGAGAAGCCTGGATATTTTTTGAAGTCTTACAAGTAATTCTGACTAGCACTGTTATTTAGAAAAACTTTCCTACAGCTTTACTAATGTTTTACCAAGTCCAAGATAAAGAACTATCACAAAAATAAAATGCTTTAATAAATGATCCTCTGGGCCCTCCCTGGTGGCACAGTAAGTTGATGCTGCACTGCCAAGAGATGGCTGCTTCAGGGCTGCTTCAGTGCTAGTTCAATCCCCACCCTGGAGGAGATCCACATAGTGCAGAGGACCTCTCCTGTCTCCCCCGCTGCTCCCTTCAGCAGTGTACTTTGTCCATCAGCCTGTCCTGCTCCCCACTCTGTTTCTGGTGAATCCTCTCACCACCCCTGCACGGCTGGCCTATAACCCATTTCTGTATGTACAGATAAAAATTTTTAAATCTTAAAAAAAAAAAAAAGATCCTCTGGTTTAGTTATAAATTTCCAAGACAGACCTCTATTTCAAAAGCCTTTTTACAAAGGATAGAACCACAGTGAAAAGTTTCAATTAAAAATCATTTCCAAAGCCAGGAAAAATTACATCAAAATTAAACTACCTTAGTCTCTTCATACTCATTATTGCACAGTTTCACTGATGAACACTTGAAATATACATATAGATGAACAGTAGTTACAAGACTATATACAATAATATTTAAGTGGTCTTAGTTCTGTGGTATCTTTCTTAAAAATAAGTTTAAAATTAAAATCTATGATTTATTTAAATTCAAAAATTTTTTATTCAACACACATTTTTAAATACACATTTCACAAGCAATTTTACTGAAGACATGAAAGCAATTTCAGTATTCTAGAACCAAAGCTGAAACTTTATTAACTAATGCAATAAAACATTTTAGAAAATAGAATAAAACCACAAACACAATAAAACTATTCCAAAAGAATCAGTATGAATTAATGAAACACCCCCCCCCAAAACAATAAAAGCTGTTCTGAACGGCTGTCAACAGATCAATTGAAAGCAAAAGAGCAAAAGAATATTTCTTAAAAGACTTGCTGCTGCCAAAAGATTCAGGGAAAAAAATCAGGACTAGAACAGACAATATGACCTCATTTTGTGTATGATTTTACTGATGTAAACAAGACATTTCTCAACTACTAACATCAGTGAGGCTTACGAAGGACTAAAACAATTTGCAAAGTCAAAAGGTGGTAAAATACAATCTTTTCCATAACAGCTCAAATGTCACAGATACTGTATTGGGACCCGTGAAATTCGGTTATTTAGTGAGCCCAAGTATCTGCTTTTGTAAGTGCGTTTTTAAAAAATGCCATACAGGCCCTCCCTGGTGGCGCAGCGGGTTAAAGCACTGCACTGAGAAACTAAAGCCACTTCCTCATGAGTTCGATTCCCGCCTGCCCCGGAGGTGACCACATGGCGTGGCAGACCTCTCCTGACCCGCCCGCTGCTCCCCTCAGCAGTGTACTTGTCGATCTGCCTGTTCTGCTCCCCGCTCTGTGTGTGGTGAATCCTCTCACCCTCCGCATCTCTGGCCTGTACCCCAGTTCTGTATGAATAAATAAATAAATCTAAAAAAAATAAAAAAATAAAAAAAAAATGCCATACAAATTTCATTCAGACCGAATATTAAATTTGCAATATTGTGGAAAAGTTGTATAGCAAAGCTGGAAGTCCCAGAAATTTTAAAGCTGACTACACACAAGCTAAAAGAAACAACACATTTTAACTTAAGCATTTTGAAGTTTTATTTTCAAAAGTCCAAGTTTATCAAAGCACAATTCTAAAACACTGAACTAACAGGTGTTAATTTATAATTAAATTTTTGAAGACTGTGTCAAACTTTGTAGTGTTCATTTTACTGGCTCAGTAACAAAACTGAAAAGATATCTGAAGACACCCTTTCTAAATTAATCCAATCTTACTTGTTTCAACACTACATTTTCCAAGCGTGTATGTCAGCAAACAATACTGCTTACATTCTAAATATATACCAGTGTAACGAACAGGTGCAACAATATTTAGTGCATGATTTTTTTCTTCTATGCCTAAATATGCCCTGGAAAGACTTTTAAAGTAAACACAAATAACCAAAGAGCTGAGTACTTATAAAATGCAACCACTATGAATTCCGAATCATGAGCCCTTAAACTACCAGCACCTTCCAAACGTTAGCCAGCCTACAAAAGTTTCAACTTAAGGAGTCGGACTCAATGAAGGGTCCCGAGTACAGTTAATTTTGTTTTACACGTCTGAGTCTGCAACGAAACAAGTACGTTTTACTTGAAGCTGATACATTTCATAGAAACAACACAAATAGTATGATTTGGTTTTTAAAGAGTAAAGGATATGGAGTATAGGCTAAGGAGGCCTGGTGAAGCATAATCTTAAAAATGCAGGGTAGACAAACATTAGTGAGTCTGTCCCTAAAGGAAATAGGGTAGCCTAAGGTACTTCAAGTTGGCGCTGGGAAGGGAAAACTTCACAGGTAAGCTGCAAGCCATTGTGCTAGGAGGCAGCCCAGGAAAGAAGCGTGGCTGTCAAGGGGCAAGTGCGGGGCAAGTGCGTACCAAGTCCGGGGGAGGGGGCCAGACGTGCCAAATCGGAAACGGGGGTGACCCGGGAAAAGGTGGTAAGGTGCCCATTCCAGTGCCTCCCCTGGGTTCTCCACTTCAGGAGGCACCAACGAAATCAAACGCCATGTCCCGCAGCACACGCCGTACCATCCCACGGCGGAGCTCGGCCCTAAACTCCCCAGGCCGTGGTAGGCAGCCTCCGGAGGAACCCCCGGAGACGCCATACTAAAAGCCAAAATGGCTGCCCAAAGGAAGCCTGCACCGCGCAGCTAGTGAGGATTTGGGAACAAGCAGCCGAGAGAAAGGGGGAGGGGGACTCTGGGACGAGCCCCCACCAGCACCGTCGCCCCCCGGGTCGCACAGGTAGGCTCCCCTCGGCCTCCCAAGATCGCGGGCTCCAGCGCAGGGGCTCCCGGCCCCACCCCCCAGCCGTAGCCGTCCCGTACACCGACCCCAGCGAGATACCTGCAGTTCGGCCCGCTCCACCTCCCAGTGCGCTCGCTCCATTTCGAACCGAGCCCACTCGTGCTGGATGTAGTGCAGGATTCCCGGGATAGTGTACTGCTGCGGCCGGGACAGCTCGGGGCCTGCCGCGGGACCCGCACCCTCGACGGCCGGAGGACCCCCTACTCCCGCTGCTCCATTTCCCCCTGGAGAAAGGCTCATGTTTCCCCCCGGCCCTTGCTGCTGCCGTGGAGGGGCCGCCATCCCCGGGCCGCCACCACCGCCTCCGGCGAGCTCGTCCATTGTGTGTGGGGCCCCGGCCGGGGCGCAGGGCGAGACGCCGATGGCTGGGGGGAGCGCCGGGGAGGGTGACCCCGCGCTGGCGGCGGGGCGGAGGCGGCCTGGTAAAGGGGCGAGGTGGGAGTCGCTGCTGTACGCCTGCCGTGGGTCAGAGCAGGGAACCGCCGGCCGCCGCCATTACAGTCCCTCCTCCATCTGCCCGGCTCACTACTTTAGGGAAAGGCGGGGGGGCCGCGGCGGGAGGGGAGAGGGCTGGGCTGGGAAGGGGATAGACGTAGGGCCGTCGCTCCCGCGCAGCATGCCGGGTAGAGAACGCCGCTGCCGCCGTTCACCCACTAGCCAAATAGAAGCCGGCCTCGCCCTACGCAGGCGCACTGTGGGCGCCGTCCCGAGTGCTGTTGTGGGGCGGGCCTTCCCCGCCCTCCTACGCGTTGGGGCGGCCAGGCGCGGCCTCAGGACCCTGGTTGCCCGTCTGCGACTTTGGAGAACGAGGCTATCTGTCCCTTCCGTTTCAGTGTCCCTGGCTCTGTCAGTCCCCAGACGCCATCCCCCAACCGAGGGACTGAGCGGCATCTGTGCCCTTGGTACTGGGCTTTGCTCGGGCTGGTGGATTTGGTGGACCGCAGCTGGTCGCGGATTCTTGACGTTTCTTTTGCATTCCTTGCGTGTTTCTGGCCGTCCCAGAGGGTCGGGCCTTGTCTCTGCCTGTCACTCGTTCGTTCTCCCGTTTCTTAGCTCCAGTTCCTCCTGGGATTCTGGGGACTTCTCCTTCCGGATGTGGTGACTTACTCTCCTGCTCCGTTTCGTGCCAGGGCTTTGGTCTCAATTCCGTGCTTGCGGTCACCGGTCGCAATTTACTTATTCTGCTTCCCCTCTTCTTTTCTGTTCTGGCATGGGATATATTTTGGGCTTTTGAGAAGGGACCAGCAGCGATTATTTTTTTTCACGCTCCCTTTGGGGTCATGGAAAATATCTTGATGGTAGAGGGAGAAAATAATTTTGAAGAATGGTTAGACTAACAAATTGATGTCTTAGACGTGATTGAGATCAGAAATATTGTTATTCAAGCAGAATGTTTTCACGGAAATAGGCAATAAAAGCATCGTGAATACAGCTGACACCCCGAGATGAAATTAAGATATTTTCCGGAGCATTAAATGTTATTTGACCATAATATTACACAAAAAAGAATTTTTCTCTGCCAATTTAAATTTCCACTAGGTTATATAATCAGCTAGTTGGTGTGTTTTCAAAAAGATAACTTCTCATGTCTGCTTTACTGTAATAGAGAGTGGACTGGACTTTGCACTCATGCTGTCATGAGTTTTTTACACATGAACTGAGGCTTTATGTCACAGTATTAACATATAACTGTTTTGTTCAGTTATGTCCTTTTTTAAGGGGTTTTATAATTGATGAAAAGTTCAGAAATAGCTGCTCAATACCCATATACACCAAAAAGCATTTGTGACAGGTGTGGGCGACCTCCATGATGGCTTCAGGAGAAACATGGCCACTCATATTCCCACTGGTACCTTAAGTTCAAGTAGAATGGACTTATGAAACATTTTTCTTTCTAACCACCTTCAAAAGAAACTACTCCATATCTTCTATTACCTATTTTATTAAATAGCATTACATCCAAACTTAAGTCCCTGGCTCCAATTCCTTTTTCACTAACATCTTTCATATCTCTTCCATTATCTTCATTCTTGTTTAAACATTCCCACCCTTACTCTTTCCCCACTTACCACTACCACTGATAGCCTGATTGATCTTAAAAAACAAATCTGATCACCTTCCTGCTTAAAATATTTTTCTAATCATTAAATGTAGAATAAAACTACATTTCAACTTAGCATATAAAGTCCTTCCAATTGTAAACTCCACTCCCCCCCAAACCCCCCACCACACACACACACACACACACACACACACACACTACATACAGTAATGCCATTCCTTTTTCTCTCCATCCAGACTGCACTGCTCTTGGCTCCTCAGATACTTAATGCTGTTTTGCTCCACAATGATTCAGATACACTCTGCCTATTGCTTTTTCTTCCTTTCTTCAAAATTCAGCTCAGGTATTACTTCCCCAATAAGCTTCCAGATCCCTGAATTTTAATTTATAGATTGTATCCTAATTTTTCCTGTTTATCTCCTGATATTCATTACATTGTATTTAAATGTGTATATGCTGATCAGTGACATACTAAACACTTTGAAAGGAAGACCTGTACATAACAGTACTTGAGATCTTTGCTTCATTTGTTTACTTTTAATTTCTCAATTGGCTACTCATTTTCAGATACTCTGTTAGTCCCTGGTTATTCGCTGATCCAGATAATTCCTGCCCTAACAGATTATACAGACAGGTTTTAAGTAAAAGAATTAGCACCAACCATCTGGGCTTCCTCAGTATCTTGTAGATCTATTTTAAAACTTTCATTTAAAACTTCATGTATCCTCCCTGTTTGAAGAATTTCAGTTGAACATATTTTTTAAAATGGTTTTGTTAAAGCCATTTGACTTTAATTTCTCAATTTATTACTCTTTTTTTCCAGATACTCTTTTTTTTTTCCAGTTAAAAGTAACACACTCTTGCTATGTTCTTCTGGAGTCATTTAGCTGTAGGCTTGTAGCCTCTTGTAAAGGCAGAACCAGTGCACCTCTTGTTCACAATGTCTAGGACAGTGAAATCCATCAAGAAGTGTTTGATGAGTAATTTAGAATTTTACATGAATTTTTATCCTTCACTCAGTCATTTCTATTAGCTTTTGCTGCCATTATACCAGCCATCTCTTTGGTTCAGTGACCAGAACTGCTGAGTATTAAACATAAAGGTGCCAAGATTTTCTCCTATATTGAGAGGATATATTCTGCACTTTGTGATGTTGTGTTCCTGGGGCACTCCGCAGCTAGCTTCTAGAAACTAGTCCTCTGTAGATAACAAGTTTTCTTGGGCCATTTTATTATCTACAACTCACCTACCACTGGAACCCCTCCCTAAACATGACTGAGTCATTCATTTGCTTTCTTCAATCTCACCTTTAAAATTTACTATTATATATATATATCTTGTCCTTTCACTAGTCCTATTCATCCCTCTCCACTCACTGTTTCAATTGCAATATACTATAGTTGATCCTCAAGAATACCTGCTTTTCCCTGGAATCCCCTATGCCTTCTTTGTATTTCAACTAATAAAGGTAAAACATTGTTATTGGGGGGTGGCCCAGGAGTGTGAGTATGGGGGGGCATGAAGAATGCCTGTTTATATCTTTAATCAGTTTAGAATTTTATTTTTTCACTTTCCCATCAGCTAAGCTTAGACACATGTATATTTATTCTAGCCAATCAAAAAAGTATATTTCATGTCACTATATTATGACAGCAAATGTACATTAAGAAGAATTCCAAGCTTCAAAATGTTAACAGTGGTTAACACTCAGATGCCTTTGTCCTATTTATTGCAATACCTGATACATAAAGAGTTTTAGACCCTGCCTTAAAGTACTACATGATTCCCTGTAATTACTCACCTGAACATCCAGTTTTATACCTTGCTGACTATATACCTGACATCTTCTAACAGAGAGCTCAAACTGGTTCACAGAGTCATCTCTTTGCATCATCTGAAAAGATGTGACAGGTACTCTTGGGGGAGGGGGAAGGGCAAGTGCAGAAGCTGAGAAGGAGTTCTTGGTAAATTCCTCAAGCCCTTAGTAGAATAGGAAGTAGTTCTCTTACATAAGTGAGTGAGGATGTATATTTGGAAACAAGAAACAAAGTCTCCTTTCACTATTCTGTGTCCTGTGTCCTATTACTATTATTGCCTATGGTTTCCAAATCATTTGCATACTTGAAATAATTTTTTAGGTAGTTTGGGGGTGACTTAGTCATTTGGGGAAGTTACATAGTGTTTACAATGATGAGTACAGGAACAAATGATCATCAGCGCTCAGAGAAAGATTGTTGAGAAGAGCTGGCCTATGTCCAAAAACCAAAGGTGCAATCTGTATAATGCAGATGGAATAGAAAAGGAGGCAGCTTTGATGTATGTGTGCCATGGCTTAACCTGCCAAATAAGATCAGATATCTATGCCTCATTACAATAATTGCCTATGGCTAAGAAAATTGTAGAAATACAGGCAAAGCATTTGAAATGTTGAAATAATAGATTGTATGGGAAAGAAAAAGAAAAAAGTATCTTTACAGCTACCAGAATCTTTAGGAAATTCAACCGCTATATAAAATTCTAGTCTAAGTTTATGAATTGTCTCATGGGTAATCTGAGTCAGAAAGCAGTAAGTTCTATTAATATTGTATAACGGCTAACTCCTAGAGATGTCAAAAATTGGTGGGGAGAAATAAAGGATTATTGGAGCCAAGCCCCTCCTGGACATTGGCTAAAAGTTAATAACTAGGTCTGTACATATAAGAACCAAATGACTGGAAAATGTGACTGAATGGGAAATCACCAAAGCTTTCCTGGGTAATAATTTAACAATCTTGGAAATGTGGTTTTTCTCCTGCGGGAACAACAGGAGAGAATGTTCAAAAGAATGATACCCAACACGCATACCTTGCCTGGGAAAACTGCTAGACATTGTTTTCTTTAGAAAATGTTTTAAATTCGACAACAATTCATTTAAAAATAACCTTTTTTTTTTTTTAAGATTTATTTACTTGTGTATACAAGAACTTGGGTATAGGCCAGAGGTGTGGGGGATGAGACAGAGTGGGGAGCAGAACAGACAGATTGACAGAAGTACACTGATGAGGGGAGTAGAGGGCAGGGCAAGACAGGAGAGGTCTGCCAGGCCATGTTGGTCACCTCCCTGGCTGGGATCAGACTGGTGCTACAGTGGCTGCCGATTCCTTATCGTGCTATGCTTTACCCTGTTGTGCTACCAGGGAGGGCCCAAAAACATTTTTAAAACATTGTAACCTGTAGTTTTATCTTTTTATTAATAAGGTATATGATGACTAATTCAAAGAAAAAATTTTAATTTCTTTAGAGCCTTTAAAAATAACGTATTGCCGTTTGTACTTTTTATTTTATAGTTTTAAATGTAATCAATATTTATATTGCATAGACTTTGTTTTCCTTTTGAAAATATGCAAAAATAGGAAATATTGAACTCTTATTTTCAATAATTATCAAGATTTTCTATTCTTAAATCATCTATTCCACTTTTTTCCCCTCAATTAAAA